AGAAATTTCGATCTTCTATGCACCAGAAATAATTTATAATGAAGGTTTTTCGAAATCTAACATAAATTGCCAGAATTTGGAAATTTCTCAAAAATCGATCAATTTTTTAACAATCGTGCGACTGCTGACAGTTATGAAATTTAAACTAAAGATTTAATTCTTCATCAATATTAGTTCCATGATTTTAAATGATAATGAGATCTGAATTTCGAATCCAAGATAAATTTAAATGCGTTTAATGTAATCGGTAGAGCTTAAAGAAAGGCGCTATCACATATATAATATAATCTTGCCTAAAGGTACTATTATCCAGTACATGGGATAAATTTCAAGACGTTTAAAGAAAGCTATGTTATAGTAAGTAGTATAATGTTAACAGCGAGTAAGTAAGACCTTGAAAGAAGGTAACGTCATATACTTCTCTCTTACTCAGACTAGAATGATTTTCTTAAATTCAAAGGTATTGAATTACATTCTTTATTAATGTTTCCCCTTTCCATAACTAAAAGGATATACAATAAAATTAACATTTTAATTTCTATATCACAGTAAAAGTTTAAAAAGGGAAAAGAAAGCGAAAAAGATTTTTTACCTACCACTACAATTTTAGCCATTTGTGATTTATAACAAAATCAACAACCAGCCCCCTGTAACCACCTTTGACCTCCTAAAAAACTTGTCATGAAAAATTCAATGTCATGCGCCCTTTGGGCTCAATTTTCAAGAGCCGGATAAGTTGTGCAGCTGCGAGACACTTCGGCAATAGCCGTACAGACTAGACTAGACCATACAACCAGTTGATGTTACTTCCCAGACATTGTCGTTTTCGCAAGAATTGTTTATTTGTTAAATTTATTCATGCTATATAACTGAAAGTGTTTGAACTCTTATTTTTGAATCTTGTTTGAATGTGACATTTCATAATTCTTTGGAACTGTTATGTGTAATTCATTTTTCAAAATTTCTATTTCTTATCATGTCTTTATTTCCTCTCTAACGCAATGCATGAACTTATAAAGATAGCCTAACTCACATTTCATAGCTTAAAAGCACAGAATAACTAAAAATGCTAGGTAAATCATATTAAGCAAGACAACTAATATTGCATTCTATTACCTTTCGTAGTCATTTTCTGTAGATGTGTATAAATAAATGACGACAAATTTTTAACGTAACGACTTGTATTTTTAACATATAAATTATATTACATAGGCGTTTCTAAATTTATGACAAAACACTCTATTTATTTTAAGAACAGAATCGTCTATGCAAAACTATCTTTCTGTTTCTTCAGGGAAGAAGTTTCGTAACTAGTAAATCTTTACGCTTATTGTTAGCTTATTGTTAGCTTATTGTTATAAGAGCTTATTGTTAGAAGAGGATTAAATAAAGTCTAATACGTACAGAAACATCACCGAATTTCTCAATGATGCAATGTTACTAATAAAGAGTATAGAAACATGTTCATTAAAGGTATGTACTTATTCAAACAAACACTGCGCACAAATATTGTGCTTGAAGGTTTAACGTAGCTAACATCACAACATGAGCTAGGTATTATAATCAAATCAATACGCCTTCTGTTCATCCTTAAAAGTTTTTAAGATAATTTTATTACAATGTTTTCTATTAGAGTGGATTTATACCGTGGCATATTCTCTACATCCGATAAGTTAGGCAAATTTCTCATGTCTGATATATCGTAAACACAGCAAATTATGTTTCCGTATGTGATGTTTTTTTTCATTTCTCCGAATTTGCTCATACTCTCTATCAAAATTAAAAATAAACATTTTATTATAGTTCACGGAAAATAAATCAGCTCCTTTTCACTGTTACTTGCTTATCTTAACGTGGACTGACATTCATAGTTAATGTTATTATAAAAGACTTGGTACAGGTAGATGACATCTGATCAACTTTTAAAAACAATTTTAGATTCATTCTCAATGCATTTTCTAGAATGGAAAGATGGACATTTGGCTCCAACTGGCGCAAGTCTTGATGCACTAAGTGATGGTGCTGCAGAACTTCCTAAATTACTATTGGTGGTTGTCTCCGTGGTGGGCTCTCTGCTGCTAGCTTTAAACGTTGTCTTGGTTATATGTTTCATCAAAAGACGGAAAAGCAGACATAGTCAACCTAGGGGTAAGTATCATTTAGTCTTACTAGAAATTAGCTTTCAATATATAACATGGGACTCAAAAAAAATAAAATGTTAACTCTGTCTGTTGGTTAGAACAATCTAAATTGATATCGTATTCCAGATTCAGAATCCAGGTAAACTAAAATGCATTTTACCTGGAACGTCAGTATCTAATGGACGAAAATTAAAATCAGTGACTAATATTATTGAACTACTACTGTAGAGTCATAAGGTTAATTCGATACAGGAGGCGAGAAAAATGAGCAGTGCCTTCACCGGGAGTTGAACCCCTGGACCTCTTGAATACGTACCGAGTGTGCTACCGTTCACCACAAAGGCATTCAGAGAGGAGGAACAAAATATCTTATTCTATAAGCACTCAACCATTCTTAATAGTGTCTGCCTAATTTAAGTCGTAAAGGTTTATTTGAATTTTGGCGTGTAATGTGCACAATTAGATATTTAGTTATTAGTTTCAAGATCATAAAATGTATAAACTGTAGGCTAAAAAATGTAAGAAAGAGAAAATATAATAATAAATCTAACGAATGGTTCCGCTTCAGAGCCTTCAGAGAATCAACGTGGATTAACTAGGACCGAAGAACAATCGTATAATGTAAAATCCAAATAATTAGATTATGTTCTTTCTGTAGGCAAAGTGCGTGTTGTTTGCAATGCCGAAGGAGAAAATGCTGTTAGAATTAATACATAGTTGTCCTGTTTCACTTCAACAAAAAATATAGTTAAAAGAACGAAATATTTTTATTTCTATTAAACAAAATATAAAATATACTTATTTAGTCTGAAAGATGAAATTATTTTTCAGATTTTTAGCTAAATAAAGACTTTTAGAGTAAATAATGAGTTTTAAAAGTACATACAGTACATAATTGGTTTTCTTTTAATGTGTATCAGCTGCATATTTATCTAATGATAGATGACGATATATTATTGAAAATCTAAATTTTGCCCAATAATATGCGATGACATATTACGTAGTGGTAAAATATTTAATTAAATGATATTAATATGCGTTTATTTGTTTAAAATGGGTTATTTTGTATTGTAAGTCGATAACCGAATCACACGTATTCATCCAAACTAATTTAACAATTCTTGAAAATACATATTCTTTTAACAAATTAACAGAAGTTTAATTTTGCTGACATCGAAAGAAATGCAGTTTTCACAGTTAGAATTTAGTTCATATAAATTCGGATAACATGAGTTTTAGTGTACTTATATTTTGAGTATTATTTGTGTTAACACATTGACTGCTTATCACGCGTTCGCGCGTGGCGTGGCGTGGCGCTATCGCCGAAAAGCCAATCACGCGCCAGCGAGTGATGTGGGGTGATGTCTCAGTAGCCAGTCACTCGCTGGCGCGGGAAAATCCACTTCTGATTATTCATTCTCTAGTTCATTTGGCATTGCTTTCAGGGTATTTCTGCTGGTATTGGCATGTAGTTATGATTAGAAACTATCTGTAAATAATCGTGGTTTCGAATTTAATATTTAATTTTTGATTGAAAAAATAATCTTGTGATATGAGTTATACAGATGATAATTGTGCAGGGCCTTCGCGCCCCAAAAAAAGAAAAGTTCAAAATAATAAGAATTTAACGGATGATGAAATTGCAAATTTGTTGGCTGAGCTATCGGACGAGTACCCGAGTGATTATAGTTACGACGGCTACGACAGTGACAGTGACGAAGAATTCATTCCTCCCAATGATGCCCATGATATTTCGGATTCTGAAGATGAAGATGATGAACAAATCGTTCAAGGTGCAACATGTCAGCGCGATAATTCCGCTATAATGGAAAATTTAACTTGGGAAAACGATTCAACATCCATGAAGCAGTTTTCTTTCATAAAATCCGAGTGTTTGCTCCAAACTGTTTCAGGTAACAATCCTACAGATTACTTTCGGCATTTTTTCACCGACGGTATCTTGGAGGAAGTAGTTGCTGAAACTAATGATTATGCTCATAAAGTACTTTTTCACCGTGAAAAAAGAAACATTCACGAATCAATGCCTGGAAAGACACTACAAAAGAGGAACTTTTGACATTTGTGGGATTGATCTTACATATGGGAACTATACGAATCAACCGCATACAAGATTATTGGAAAACCGATTCACTGTTTGGTTTACATGTTTTTTCTGAAAACATGAGCAGGAATCGGTTTTTATTATTACTGAGGGCATTGCACTTCGCAAAAATTCCAGAGCAGAATACAGAAATTCCAAAGGATCGATATATAAAATAAGAAGTATGGTAAATTTGTTCAACGCACGAGTATCTGAAATATATTACCCAGGACGAGAGATAGTTTAGATGAGTCGATGGTATTATGGCGTGGACGACTTATATTTAGACAGTATATACCAAATAAACGTCACAAATATGGTTTATCAAGCTGTACATGATCACAACCCCTGACGGTATGGTTCTCAAATTATGGTATATACAGGTATGTTGGATGATTCTGGTGGAAAAGGACATGCACAGAAAGTCGTAATGAATTTACTTGAGGGAATGTTGGATGTAGGGCATAGCGTATTTATGGACAATTATTATAACAGCTATGAACTGGCAAAATGTCTTTCTGATAGAAAAACTCATTGTACTGGGACAATTAGAAAACAACAGGAAGACATTTCCGAAAGAGGAAAAAAAAAAAAACTGAAGAAAGGGGCAAACTGTAGCAAAATATACTAATGGTGTGATGATTGCTAAGTAGAAGGATAAGAGAGACGTCACTTATATTTCCAATGAATATAAAAATGATATGGTGGAAAAAACAAAAAACAAAAGAGGTGAAGTTAAAACAAAACCACTACCTGTAATTCAGTATAATAAATTTATGGCAGGTATTGATAAGCAAGACCAGATGCTTGCTTGTTATCCTTGTGAAAGAAAGACGATTAGGTGGGCCACGAAAATTTTTGTGCATATTTTGCAAATAATGATGTCCAATTCCCACTTTATCTACAGCAAGTATTCCAATAGAAATATGTCACTTTATGACTATCGTCTATCCGTGATAAGTTGCTTATTGAAACAGCCATCTGTTCATCGTGCTCTGTGTGTCATCCATCTGAATCGGAGCATGTACTAAAAACGCGGGAAGAGAAAAAAGGGAAAAAAAATACTGCGAAAGCCCAGTGTAAAAGCTGTTATTCGGAAGGAAAACGAAAAGATACCATATATGTGTGCAAAGTTTGCGAAGGATCTCCCGGATACTGCCTAGATTGTTCTAAGATTACACACAAATAACACTCTAAAATGTAAGTTTATTAATAATACCATTATAATTATCATGTAATAAATTCATTTGTAATATATATGTTTGTAATAGAGATTTATATAAAAATAATGCATACTGTCACTTATTTTACTTATTTTGATTCACTTTTTTGCAAATCACGCGCCAGCGCGTAATGTGGCATTTGGGAAAAAAATTGTTGTGCAGTGCCAATCACGCGCTGGCGCGTAGTTAAGAAATTCCATATGGAAATGCTTAAATAATACTTAGATATAAAATAATCATATTTCATTAATAATTTTAAATCATATTTCCAATAATTAGTATGTTGGCTTCTGGGCACAATCTACTTCGATGTCAAGGCAATAACTATCAACCCCATCTCTAGAGACTGGCAGTCAATGTGTTAATGTCATTTGTTATAAATGTCGTATCGGAAATATAATATATATATTTTATATTTTTTCTTCGAGAAAACTCAGATGAATTAATTTACTTCTCAATTATTTGAAAAATTTCAATCGAAAATCTTTAATGGCTTCTGTGTGTGTCACGTGAAATTTGGTATATGTAATAAGCTGTCTTAAAATGATGGCTTTCTTTTCTATTTCAAAAGTACTTCATGAACTATATTTCTTTAAAAGCTTAAAATAATGAAGCACATAAATATTTTATTATATAAAGTACTTAAGTATAAGTTTTAAAGCTTTCACAAATAGTGCAAAACGGATATGCATTGAATTGAAGTGTTTTATTTTTTGGCACGATTTGGCTTATAATCACTTTATGGAATGAAAACACTTCATGCCATCGTTACTGCCACATTTTTGCAAAGTTCTTCAAATTTGTATTTTAGAGCTTTTTCAATTAGCATTTTGATTTCGGATAGTTGACTTTCGACTCCCTTTTAGTTGTAGAAAAGGAAAGAATGTCACAGGAAGCTGCAAATGTAAGCGCTGACTTTATATTTATTTGTCATGCAAGTAGGCTGGAACAGTGCTAGACACAGGTAGTATTATGAGGTTAAATTTCTTTTCATCTTTTCCAAAAACAAGCCCTTTTTTTAATATGGTCTTTTTAATAGCTACGGAATTCATGTTTACGGTGCAACCAGCACAAACATAAAACATCTAATTCCCAATTTATTGACTTAAAACATTTCATAAACTTGTATATCTGTTGCACAGATATGAATTCAATCTGAATAGGGTCCTTTATTCAATAGCCTATATATTTTTAAATAAATAAAAATATTTCTAGAAAAAAATGCTTCTTCTGAAAAACATTTAAAATAAATACATATTTATAGTATGTAAAAATTCCGAATGAAAATATTTGTATTGCAATATTGCAAACCATAAAAATTTCATTCCTAAACTTTGATACTTAAACCTATATAAAATAAGCAAATATTTCAAATAAATTAATTTCATAAAGCCCAGCTTGAAGCATAGCGTAAATAAATTTTAAGAAATATATGACCAAAGATGCGCAAATCTCTAATTTGTTTCTTAAGTAGCTTCGCATTTAATAATGATTTCGGGAAATTACCCTAGAAGTGCATCTGCTGAACTAAAAGTAACTAGTAACAATAATCTAATTAAAACGTAAATAAATCTTCAATAGCGTTTAACAGTTTAATATTTTAATTCTTATAGCACAAAAAGGAATTAAGTAACAATGTCTATAAAACAGTCCCAATAATAAACACGTACGTACAGACATCACAAAAAAACTCCTTTTCAATCCACTAAAAATCCATTTTATCCGTTTTGGAAAAAGGTGTCCTTTATTCTATCCGTACGTAGAGTCATCAAGCACATGAGTAGTCCAAACGATTTCAGGAGCATTCGAAATGGCTATTTCTGTCGGAATACATATCCGAATTCTTTTGCAATTACAGCACTTACTTATTTCGTAAATGTCTTTACTTGAAAAAATGGGGAAAATGTATTCTTTCATTTAAGAGATACAATATTTTAACTTAATTTCAAAAACAATGATGAAACAGTTTGCAATACAAATTATCTGGTATTTTAACTTTTATAAAACAATCCTTTATGAGATAAAAATCTAAAAATGTAATAGTTACATGTTAACTAAAATTTAATCAAATATCAGTCAAATCTCTGATAAATTAACATAGTTAAAACTTTTTATTCTATAATGCACATCTTCTTATCGACAAACTTTACACTCATTTTACAAGTTAAAATTTTTATCAAGTATCGTACTTATTATGCATTTCCTAAAGTAATATATTTTATTAGTTCTTATTCTGATTTACTGCGTATCTCCAAAATTAATCTAATAACAGCTGATTGCTGTTATTAGATTATGATATGTTATTAGTTATATGATGATGAAAAATTATTCCTGTATAGCCTTACAAGGATCCTTATAAAAATACAGAGTAAGCATGAAAGTTAATCTTCGTGATAGTGAATATGTTGAACTGCCTACCAGTAAGTTAAATAGATTTTTTTATGAGAAAGTACAAAAAATTTATGAAAATAGTGAAAACAGTTAGACGGCAAATTTTACCTTTTGAGTCCATTATTCGTTGCATCTTTTTCCAATAGATGGCAGCACAAGATTCTCATTTAATACGATTATTTTTTTTTAAACTATTTTAATGTTTACACCAATGGCTAAATGTAGAAAACTAAAATTTGTGGGTTGTTTTAATTAAGATAACTTTCAGATCTCTGTTATTTTTATAATTATAATCCATAACAAAGAGGTCAGTATTGTTAAATTATTTTGCGAAAAGAGAAACAACATTTCGTTTGACGTATTTATCACTGGCAATGAAGCTTGATAATTAAAGACTTTTTAATACTGAAGCTAGGTATATTTACATATAGTTAAGTTAGATAAATAACTCTGTTTATTATATATTTTAGGAAGCCCCAAGACTCTAACGCAGACTACTACTCCAGATTCCTTGATGTACACTCCCAGTAAATACCAGCAATCCATTAATGGAGAAGCTATCTGTCAAGTTGATGATAAGGATAGCTATCAAGAAGAAATACTCATGAAAGAACTTTTCGTAAGTTAATTGGTTTAAGATAATTGTTTAACAAAAAGTGTAATTACGAATGAGTTATGTTATAAACTTGTAGATGATGTAAATGTTCTAGAAAAACGTTTGCTATAAATAATGAACAAAGCTGGAAGTTATTAAAAAAAATCTGAAATTTAGGGTTAGAACAGATGGAAATAGATTTATGAAATTTACAGTTTGAAAATGTGAATTTATAGATAGTTTTGGAGAATGAGTCAAAATCGCTCACAAAGAAATTACGGAAACGGAAGTCTTTAGAGAAAAGTCTTAAAATTAACAAAATCACCAAAAATAATACAGCTTCTTTAAGTATGAAAAGTTTTGAAGTTTGTAAATAAACCGAAAAGGATTAATATACGTTCTGTGATACTACTAGTTCTGTTTGGTAGTGTTTTTACTCCTATTTCTAACCTAGATGGCAGCACAAACCATTCAGCTCGGAATGATCAAAAATGCGATGGGAAAAACCTTCCCTCTTTTTTTTAAATTATTACGAAAATTATTTTTGCCTTTTAAATAATTTCAGATTCTAATAATTTGTGCTTTTTGTGTTTAACATTATCAGTAATTGTATGAAGCAATAACAAAATTTCGTAATATTTAAATTCTCTAAATTTCTTAAAATATAAGTCTCCACTGCGAGGTGTAGCAATACTATTTTTCATACAATAACAAACAAAATGTATTCAGTTTTTCTGCCATATTTTACACTTACGTAATTACTAAATGCTTTTTTATTTTATTAGGAAGCCAAGAAGCAAGTTAGTGAATGCATTCCAGGGTATCAAACTACAAAATCATATGGTAACCAACTTCTTACATTTACGTAATTCTAATTAATAATATTATGACTAATATTTTCTTTAAATATTTTTTTCTTGTTAAAATATGTTGCAAACAATTAAGTCATTTTTTAAATGTAGAACTCTTTTCTATGGCAAAGATTTTAATAAAAAAAAATTCTGAGTAAAATTTTGTATGTCGAATATTTTATAAAATACTTTCTTTGCTTCAGAAGAAAAAAAAAAAGAGTTCTCTTTATGAATTCATAAATAATAACATGCATAAGTATGTAAATATACTGCAGTTCAGTGAAACTGCATCATGAACAAGGACAAGAGTCAAAACGCAGATATTAATAAGAGCAACGACATAAAAAAGGAAGAAAGAACTGAAAAAATATTGTACTAAGGAAGACATGTACAAAATTCAATACTTTATTTGTCCAACTTTAGCAGTTACAGCACACTTCATAAGGCGGGGCACTGACTAAATGAGATTCTAAATGACTGTCAGTGGAATGTCATTCCATAACGATTCAATATGCACTTTTCCGTGCAAATTCAGTTTATAATGCGTCAGTGGTAGTCGCGAGTAGTGATATACGAGTCAATATTCGAGTTGTCATATCTTATACGTACTTAGTGGAGGAGGAAGCTTAGAATAAGCTGAGGTCATAGAAGAACTGATACCCATTAATCGCAAAGGAAATGATGGGAATTGCGTGCTGCATAAACGGTAGTCCTGTTATGATGGTTAGCTCCAAAAAGAACTCAACATGGGTATTCCTACTCTGAAATCTCATTTTTGGAACACGCGTTGTTCATAGTGCTTGTAATTCGTAGAAGACGAATTATTCCAGACCACGACAATTACTTCGCTCGTAATGGTATGCTTTGCAGCACAAATTTTCCAGATATCATTCTCCATTATCACGCTGCACGAAGTTCAGGCCATCTTGAGTTTAAAGATTGTACCCAGATCCACTGTAAATGGTGGCGTGGGCCTATTCAGAGTTCCATTGTCTACTCTTTGCTCCAATAAGTAGCTGGTGTCTCTAGTACAGATACTCGTACGAGAGACCAATTCTTACACCGTTGTTCATCAGGTACCGTTGGTTATCTGCAGAGGCCTATTCTGAATTTCCACAAAGGGCATACAGCACCAGATTTTTTAAAAATAATGCCAAATTTTTAAAGGATTGTATTAATATCTGGCAGTTAACATTATATATATTTTAAAATTGGCTACGGTGTTTGTGTTGAATATTGCACAGCATATAAAGTAACGAAGTGCTTATTATAAACGCTTAAAATTAATAAATTAATTAAAATTGATAAACGTTCAAAATTAATATAAATTGAAGATTGCAGTGAAAAATCTCTATGAAATTTTTTAATTAATTAAGATTGTTAGAATTTGGAATTTAATATTCTAAGTTTTATCATATACAAATTTATAATCTGTTTTCTTTAAATTTTATTAAATTAAATTTTGGGAATTTATACGTGAAGGAAAAAAATTCTCATTATTTGCAAAGCTCACAAATTCAGATTTTTTTTAGAATCAGACTTCTTGCTTTTTTTTTTTGGATATATTATAATTTCACAATACACTTACCTGATTTCACATTTTTCACGGCGCATCGAAATCTTGACTATATTTTTTTATTAAAACAGTCTCAAAAATCGTTATTTCGTTTCTACGTTATTCATACAGACGTTTAAACTACAGTTCATATCATTTTAAATAACAGGAGATATCCACAGACAACTTGTTTACTTTTTTCTGCTCTTATTTATATTTAACGATTTTATGTAATTTTATCTATTTATGATATCAGCTGCTCGAAATCTTTAAATGATATCAGCTGATCGAAATCTTTAAATGATATCAGCTGATCGAAATCTTTAAATGGTAGATTAGTTTTTCGAATTGTTTTCGTATAATTTATTAGTCGATTTAAAATTCCAAACCTTTTATTAACGCACTTTTATAAAACTTGGTATGTTCTTCTATCTGGTGATTTAAATGAAAATCTCTTCTAGATTGTTCATGTGTAAAAAGCTTTAAATTTGTTCTAACGTAACAGAGAAATTTTTTGTTTCGAAAAATAGATAGTAATGGCATAATGAAGTTATTAAATTCATCCTTAGTCTATGTACTTATTGTGTCACTCTTAAGCAACTGAATAGGGCAAAACAAAAATGTTTCAGAAACATCATAAACTACTAAGCGGTTGTTTATTTCCTTTCTTTGCATTACATAATTTAAAAGTGCTTTCTACATTAATTTTACATTTACTGCAAATGCCAATTAAAAAGGGCGAGGTATGTCATTTTTTATAGTGTTTATGTGTGCGTTCATGTATGTGTTCATATATGTATGTATATATGTATATACGTATGTATGTCTCTATATACACGCACACTTTACATATATACATATACTATGTATATGTAGTTAAAATTCTACTAATTCCAACTACTGTCTTCGTTTAGCCTTTTACGTTCGAAATTATAAAATAAAATGACTGTATATACAATGACTGTAACATATTTTAACATTGGCATTTTTCTTATAATTTTTCTCTAGATCTTTCCCAATCCAGGAAAAAAGACAATTGTCCTGACATATTAAAAAATCGGGGAATGGTAAGAATAAAATAATACTTTCTTTTGTTAAATTAGTTTTATTAAGCAAATATATTCTTATAAAAAGCAAATTTAATTACTTTCCCAGCGCAAACTGTGATTATGAATATTATATATATACCTAGTAGCTCGCCATGTCATTCAGTTTTACCATGCTAAAGAAATCGATCATTTTCTCAGCGAATATTTTCTCTTAAATTTAACTTGAGCTATGGATCAGGCTTAGACCTTAGATTATAACAGTATTTTATTATTTAATCTTTAAATTCCTTTGTCTGACGAATTAAGTTACATGAAAGTCATGATCAAAGATATATGACGAATTTCATACATTTAATACATATTTCTAAGCTGTTTGAAAGTATGCCCGATATATAAAATTTGCTTTTGCTTAAGTTTTTTTTTTATCTTGAATGCATAATCAAAGCGATATACTAAGAACAAGAGAAAGAGAAACCGACAATTACATGTAAAATTAATTTTCGTTCATTGGAAATAATAATATGCAACTATTTAATAGCAAACAAATGAAAAAAAAATTGGTATAAGAATTAGGAAATAAAGCCGAAATTTATCGCTCACTTTTCATTTCGTAAGAATTCATTGAAGATCATTCATTAAGAGGCGCAGTGCAGCTTTAGCTAGGTGTTTTTGTTACGGTCGTGAAAGAAGTAGGACTTGTAGCGGTTGATGTGGAAGTTGAAGAGTTTGGGCGGAACAAGAGAAATGGAGCTTTAAACAGTTTCTTCCATGCGTCCGATGGGAATGGAGTGGAAGCTGCATCAAATGCGAAAATATTACACAAACTCTAGTATTGAGAAGCTGTTGAAGAGTCTTACAGCTCTTCTGTTTAACTTACCATAAACATTTGCTTATCCTAAATTTTAAAAATCTGTGTTTCTAGCCTGAATGCGTATAATCAGATTAACACAAAGAATTTTATAAACGGTTCTTGAATGAAGATCTGGTTTTCCTTCCTGTAGTTATCCTTCTGCAAGAAATTTTACAGATTTCCATCGCCTTATTCATACTAAGGACATTTCAGTTCCTTCTCCATTGTGGTTTTCCATTTTTCCCTTAAATCTTTCGATAAAATCATGATCACTATTTGCCAAATATATTTTAATTTTTTATTGTAAAAGGTTGTTGCGAAATACGAGTGGTAGAAAAATTTTGGGGAGGCAAAACTTAAAAATTTCAGGAAACCAAATTGTTCCAAATAATGCTTTAATAAAAGATGTTATCAAGTAAAAGAAAAGCATGAACTAAAAGAATTGATGCCAAATAAAATTTTAATGAAAAGATTATTTTAATGAATGTTCATTAAGTTCTTACTTCACATTCTGGAGTACACATTTTTGATTTCCTCTTTTTTAGGATCACGTGAGCTTACAATCTGTTCCTCTTAGCACAACCTTGTCATCAAGTGACGTCATCACTTCCCTCTCCGACGATTCTCACTACACTAGGAGGGTCCTGCTCCCAGACGATCCGACACTGTGCCACACGAGACAGACGGACAGCCCACCGGGTAGTTGTATCCTGGGAACAGTCGGGAGCCATCTAGTGTGATACCTGCAATATGCCATCTTGGCTCAACACTTCTACAGCATGGGCAAAAGAAGAGTGACCAAATATGTCTCCTCAACTCTTCATCGAAATATCGAAAAAGTATATTAAAATATCGTTAAAGACGAACACTCTTTTCATATTTTACAAGAAAAATGGACAGTTTTCTCACATCATCAGTAGATGTCTTCGCTCTTCCTTTTGGAAATGTTTCATATTTTCTTTATATAAAATAATTTCTCCTCCGAATTTATTTTGCAAGTAGTGCGATGGAACATTTGCTCGAATACCTTCTTAAAGATTACAGTAAATTAAATAAATAAATAATATTATTTTGCCTATCTATTTCCCACCAAATGTTAGATTAAATTGATTTAAAAAACATCGTCTTTTTCCTTTTGTATAAAACTTTACTTAACTCCCCCCTTTCTGTTAAATTAATAAAACAATTAAAGTGGATCTAAAAAATACTGTTCGGAAGTAAGCTTAAAATTCAGACACTAACATAATACAAACTATAATTGTATTTGTAAATAAAATGTAAAGCAATAAAATTATGCTGAAAAACCTGCGCATGAAAACATATTTCGAAAGACTTGAAAATCCGAAAATTTATTCTACATTAAAAAGGGGGATTTTTTTTACTGTCACCTAAAGCATTCATATTCAGTTCTTTTTAAAAAAACAAAAATGCAAAAAGAAATGCTACCAAAATTCGAAAAATGAGTGTAACGCTACCTGAGACATGTGTCGGTTTGATTTCAGATTGCTGAATATCCGTAGGATTAAATATTCGGGTTAAATAAAGTGAATCAATGCTTTCCTCCTTTGCCCAGTTTTGGAGTCGATTCAGTTTAGAAAGGATTCGTTTGGTGCAATTGCCAGGAAGACGATTGCCGAAGAGGGAGGACAATATGTTCATGCTACTGAGATATTGCTCGTTTCTGGCATCTGACATTTTGAAAATATTTTGTAGCATATCAGTTTACTAAAATCTACTCTAACAGTTCTGAGAAAACGGTTTGAAAACTTCGATCACCTTCTGCTTATATGTGAACATGGAGTGACTCAATAACCAATCAGCGCTTGCTTCGGAAAAAAAAGTTCAGATATAGACGGTACTGCGCTTTTACTTTTAGCCGGTACGTTGTTTGTTTCTACGCCTTTTTGCTGGGTCGATCTCCCTAGGCCATTTTCTACTGGAAACGAGACCGCGGCAGTAGTAGAACAAATACAACCTCTCAACTGCCAAACAATAGCAGTAACGCTTAGCCAGCATCTGTATATGTATATGCTTTTATCTACTATTAGTAAAAAATAACTGGAACCTGAAAATGAAATAGAAATGGAAGGCCTCTAAGAAAGGCGTTTTTGTTTTGAAAGCATAGAATTTGGAAAAATTCTCCAAGTAAAGTCATTAAAACCGAATTAAAAGAAAATCTTTAAACCAAGTGGCCTACATTCTAATACTTCTTTGCGCCGAAGTATTGTTTAAAAACGAACATATCATATTTATAGATCTACTGAAATTTTATTCGCTTCAACCTAAAACATCATTTTATCTCTTTTAGGATCACTTCTTTCTCTTCCTTTCGTTTGGCATTTCATTAAAATGGATAATAAATGGTTCCCTGAGCTTCACTAAAGCAATCGGAGCAATAACTTTAGTGAGTTGTGTGTATGCCTCCAAGAAGCGCATGGATTCAAGTAATGCAATACAATTCGGAGTTCGTAGTGTTTAAAAAAAAAAAAAAAATCTTCGTAAAGTTCGTAGTTTTTCAGTCATTTAGTGATAGCTAATGATGCTGGCGCCATCTATCCATCAAAGAGGAAAACTTCGTAGTTACCGGTCGTATAGTGCCGATTTGCGGATATTTTCGATTGAAGACCGGTTCTTCAAAAGAAAATCAATAATAATTAAAAGCATACCGAAAATGCAAACCTAAATTCACCGTATCTTTCCTGCGAGCATTTATTCAAATTAAAAAATGATTAAATAACTCCAATTAGAACGCAAGACGGAAGTGAATTCCAAAGATTAGGATACGAATCATTATAGGTTTGGTAGGGTTTCTGTAATTTGGTAGGATTTCTATAATTTATTTTTTGGTAGGGTTTCTGTAATTAGCAGCCGAATGAATCAGTAAAGGAAAATTAATTTATTGGCAGATTTTGCTGTGATGGCACTATATACTAATTAATGAAGTCATTGTAAAAAAAAAAAAGTCATTGTAAAAAAAAAAAAAAAAAAAAAAAAAAAAAAAAAAAAAAAATTGAAAGTTTTCAGATTATATATTACGCCGAAAGGGGGGCTTTTTTTTTTTTTTAACGTTTTGTGTGTTACCGTTATTTATTAAATACTGTGTTCTTCGAACTTAAACAATAAAATTCAATTCTATAGCACTATCATATAATAATTCCAAAAGAGCATATATTTAGAATTTCCGATACACAGTCTCGCGCGCTGGAATTAGAAATTTTTTTTCGTACATTGTTGCCATTGCTTACTTTAAAATTGTCGATTATGTCAGTCAAAATGTCGTTAAGGTTTTCCAAAATATGAAATAGATCTAATAAAAGAAATTCCAAATTCGGCCTTCCAAATGCACCTATGCGAGTGGAGAATTACGTTATTCAAAATTTGATGGCTCTAGGTAACATTGTTTTATTACAATGCGAGAAATATACATAAATTTATGCCGATTCTTCATTATTTAATTTCCATAATGTAAGATAGGGTGGTAATATTTGGTGGCAACAATTTAAAAAAGTGATACGCCGTTTATAGTGATTCAATGCAAAATTAATGATTCATTTATTGTTAGCTTTCAGGCAGTATCGATTCTTTGAAATGTTTACATCAAATGAAGCTTTTCTGAGCATTTCCTAAATTGTCTCTCTCTCTCTCTCTCTCTTTTTTTTTTTTTTTTTTTTTTTTTTGTACGAATGAATAAGTAAATATACAGCACATACTTAATGTTTCACCTTTACGTTTTCTTAATTCATGACTTTTACGTTTCTTCTACATGCGTAAAAATACTCACTTTAAAGGGTTTATTTCTTCTTTATAAAATAAAAGAATTTCTCAAATTAGAAAAGGCATTCGAGCAAAGAGACAAAAAGGGCTCTTCCGTTTTATAATAACGGCTCATTTTTAAGAATCAATTTAAAAATGTGTTCAAGCATGTTTCCTTTGCATTGTACTTTATAAACAAGAACAACCAACTTAAATTTAAATAAAACATAACTTTCATTTGCTCTTTAAAAGCTTTATCATTCCCCCTTCCATTCTAGATAACTCATTCACTGCATTGTATAGAAAATCATCGAGATCTTATAATCGTGCCATTTAATATAAATTACAATGTAAACCAATTGCATCACTTTCTTTTTTTATTTTTTTCTGTATGTGTTGAATATTTCGCAAATGTGTTTGTGAGAAATAAGTCACGTTATAGATGTTTTATTGAAAATAGTATGCCTTGTTATTCCTAATAGAGTAACTGTAGAAAGTGAAATGGAAGTATGTTTAAAGAAAAAGAAAGGTAATGAAGAGTTATTTATTTTTTAATGATAGAATATATTACATATAATGTTAGTAATACTGAGTTACGTTTCAAATGACTATTATAAAATGAGGTTATAATATATTTCTTAGGATCAAATGACTTCGAATACATTCATTATATTCTGAAAATTAAACATTGTCAATGATATTACTCTAAATTTTATCAATATTGCATATTGCACTCAATTTCTATTAAACATTTCAGTTTAACTTCCTTTTCTCCAATTTATATTTAATAACTTTGTGAAATTTTAAATGAGCACAGCTAACTGGAGACCGTATTTCAATTCAGATAATCAGTTCACCAATGTATATATATAAATGTGTGTATCGAATGATTGTGTACAATTTGTTGTCAGTAAGATGGCAAATTGTATAAGGTCATCTTAACATCTTGACGTAATTTTATAAATTTGATATTACGAAGCTTAGCAGTACAGTCTTTGAAGTCTGATCTTCTCTTATTAAAAGTATCAGCTTTTATTAAATAAAAATCTAGCTATTCGATTATGTTCATGCTCCGTGTATGCTTTCCGAGATAATATTCTGAATTAGGATGGCCAAAGATAAGTCGTTTGGTGTTTGGCTTTAATCCTGTATTTTTTACTTCTTGAAATTTCATTCATTGTATGAAACTTCCATGCAGCTATTTCTGTCACCAATAAATTATTTTATGTTAAGTTATGTATGGGAACCTTTACATATGTAATATTTTCGGTTTGCGTGATTTTAATACTTTAAATTTTTTCTCTTTTCTAGTAGAGTCAAAATTTAATTTGGCAACTGATCCAAGTTAGGACCACTGTAGGAAAGCCGTACTGATATTTCTGTACGGTTTCGTCTATAGTACATAATACTTCTGCATCATCAAAAGCCTGCGCAAAATATGTCTTTTACGGTCTCCAGTTTCTTTAGTTTCCATTCCATTTTGTACAGTTGTACTTGATCAACATTTCATTTCAACTTCAAGGAAGGGATTCTACATATAGTGCTTATTCTGAAACGTTTTAGGTACTATTTGAAATATTCTGGCAGTTTTGAGAAAACAATGTTTCTAATTTTTTTATTTTGTTTTTATTTTTTGTACCTTACTGTATCAAGACATGCATATAATGCATATGCATGTAATGAGAAGTATAGTTTAATCTACACAGATGTGTCTCTCAAGATGTTGATAGATTTTCTCTCTTTTTTCTTGTAAATATCATCTAAAAATAAGTTACATATGCATGTATACATATATCATTTGTTGAAAAACTGTTTAAAATCAACCAAATTTTCAATAAGTGACAAGAAAGAGAGCATTTTGCTGGTTACTTTTGCATGAAAATAAAGCTTGATATTTCAAGTGATTCGCAGTTGTACACTATCGGATGCATATTCCTTTCTTTAATATAAAAATGGGCTAGCGAGTAACTTTTGGCGATTTCAGAGATTAAATACCTACCGCAAAATAAACCTCTAATACTACATTCTGAAAGAAGATAACAATTTTCTGAGTTAGAACTATACCAGTTCTCGTAACCTTTTCCTTATACTTTTCCTTTTCAAAATTCAGAGAAGACTATATAAATCGCCAAATCTATTTGTTGATCTCTTTTCGTATTAAGGAAAAGGAAATACTTTGCTATCCATATTTATTAACGTGTTATCATTGTTTCATAAAATATCATGGGAAGTTTTTTACATGAAAATATTCCTACCATTTGATATGAAGCCAATAATTTTCAGCAGAATATAAAAGAAAGTACATTTTATTTATATTTTACACTTTGCCAAAAGCAGAACTGTATGCTGATTTACTGTACGCTGAAAGTCGTGGGAAGCACAGTTCCCACATCCAATATTTGTATCCTGTAAAAAAGCATGCAAAACTTTATTGTTATTATATTACAACTAACATTTGCTTTAAAAGCAATATGAAAGAGCTAACATACTTGATTGAAATAGAGAATCTTAATTTAGTGTCGAATTAGTTTTATAGAATTCCTACTTCCCATCTTTATAACTTTCATGAGACATTTTTATACTTAATTTTTTCTCCTCTGTTTCCTGAGAAGTAAAAGAAACCTAGCTTCTGAGATGAATTTGCAATGTTGTTTGAGAGCTTAGAGCTTTCAAAAGATGGAACCTCAAAAGAAATGTGACTTTTGTATTAAAAAAAATGGCTTTTATTATTAAGAAAATCAAAGCTGAAAACTGTTAGCTATAAACTATGTAATAAAAATATTCGTTTTGGTATGCTTTTGTTTTTTCCTATTTACCATAATATACATTGTATGCAAATACATATATTCATAGCTTATAAACACGGCTAATGTATAAGTAGACATAGACATTGTACAACATGTCCGAGAAACGCTTATATCTATACGTTGTCTCTAAAGGTGAGGTTTTCAAGTAACGAAACGAAATTAAATTACTAATAATAAGACTAAATATATAATTCTTTCGCATCCAGAGAGGCTAAAATCTGTTTCCCTCAAACATATGAAGCACCCTTGTATAGGAATTCCTGTTGAAACGGATTTCCTTCTCACCTGCCTATTAGACTGCTACAGCGTTAACAATACTTAAGTGACGTGATTACTTCTCTTTTGGGGATCTTTGGGCGCTTTCACTCATTGTTTGCAGTCTTCCTTTAAGACAGGGTTGTAACTGCGATCATCGATATCTGATCGTTGAAGCTAAACAAAGAAGAGGGAAGGTGCATTCAAATAAGAGAGTTACTTGAATCGCTTCAAAAGAATAATTCGTACGTCATTTAACAGCTCCTGGAACCAATGACTCATGCACTAACGTGATGAGGGAAAACACCAGGAAGAAAATGGACTCAGGCATTCGGGCGACCTGCCGATGTCTGAATGCACAGGCTTTATGGGCGAATTCGCTGGTAAAGAGTTAACGCGACACATTTGCAAACTGCCCTAACTTGGTAATATAGATAATATGTGTCTTTGTTTGATTAATTGTTGTGTTTATCCAATATGACAGACGAGTAATTTCTTAAAAAAATATGATGTGTTTAGCATACGACCTCCCGCCAAGTCCATGTTTTAAGTAAGTAAATAAAGCATCAAATGATACTTTACTTAAAGCTAGATATTATTTAAAACGTGGAATTGATTAACTGTTCATACATAAAATCTAATTTGTTTACAAATTTTATGTTTCACTGTTACTTATGAATACTACTCTTTTTGTTTTATTTTCTGTTCTCCCATGCAGTGGAAAATGATGACTGCACGTGCTCATGTACACATTAGTTCTCATGCTTTCATTCACAAATATCACATTTTCATCACATCATCGTTGTATATATTCTAGTCATATAATGTTAGGGATTCATTACACAATTACTTGACAATCACAAAATTTTAAAAGAAGCTTGTCTTTAGGATTCCTGATAGAGTGTTAAGTGTGATCATACATTTATTTTCCCTTTTCTGTTCTTATTTCATGATATCAATGTTCAGTTTACAACTTTTTTATTTATTCTCTTAGTTTTATTTATTAAACATCACTTTCTCCACACTTACGCTATGTTAAACTTACGCTATGTACGCTATGTTGTTTCTTAAAAAAATACTAGCAGTAACATTTGATAGCAGCATCCTTTTATTTGAAAAGTAATTCTATACCAAAGTAAAATGAACA